TTTATACACAATAACTTGACTAAAGTTCAACTTTTTTTTTGAGCTGATGTTTTCCTGAATGATGGTTAAAACTCAGAGGATCCACAGAGAAGTTTGTCGGTGAGCAGAGATCAGTCCGTTTTTATTGTGAACGTTTCACAACCATTTGCTTTAAGATCTATTTTCCTGCCGTACGTTTTTTGGACCGTATCGCCTTCTGCAGTTTTTGTGCCATTTTAACGATTCTTAAATCAAAGCGATCAGCTCCTTCGTGACATCCCGGTTATGACTTTTGGTATTTCAGCTATTAAAGCTATTTCACTTTTTCAGCCACATTGAAGATGGAGCTGTTTTTAACATCCTTAAAATCCTTCAAAATGCTTCACACATTTTGTTCTGGTTCTGCTCTTTTTAACTTCCTTGTGATAAATTTAGCTTCTTTTGATAATTTTAGATTTTTCTGCTATTTCAGCTATAAACCTCCTTTCTGTGATTCTTCTGGTTTTTTCTACATTTTTCTGCTTCTTTCTGCTAATTTGAACAATTTCTGCTTCTTACAGTTTTATGCTATATTTAGCAAACTTGTGCTCCTTATGCTAATTTAAGAATTTCCAGCTACATTTTAGCTGTTTTACTGAAAATTTTGGATGGTTTTGCTTTTTTACAATAAATGTTTACAATTTTGTAATTTTTATGCTTTTTTCCCCTGCTAATTTTACATTTTTTACAACACTTCCACCATCTGGATGCTAATCTCAACCTGTAAATGAAATGTAAACTTTTATCTTGTTCAAATTTTAGTTTTTTTCCTCTTTCAGCTATAATTCTGCTCCTTTCTGCTAATCTCTTTCTAATTTCTACTTTTTCGTACAATTCTTTCAACTACGTTCTTTTAAATTAGAGCTTTCTGTGCTTCTTTCACACTTCTAATGAACTTACATTAAACTTTAGCTTTCACCTTAAGTTTTCACCAGCATTTTCACAGGAAATGCAGTTTCTTTAGTTTTATTTTTATTTCCCTGTTTAAATGATTATCAGTCAGGTCATATTCTGTTACAACCAGATTATTATGCAGTTAAAGTTAAAAATCTGAAGTTATAACCAGATATTTATGCAGTAATAAACAGTTTATTAAACAAACATTTAGATTTATTTCCTTTACTCAGCAGAAATGTTTTATTGATGTTTTGATTCATGACAGAAATACAACACCTGAACACTTATAGACATTTTTATTTATTATATTTAATGTAAATTCTGTTGTACTGCATCATTTTTATAAAGTTTTGTTAAAATAATATCTGTAGAATCACCATGCTCTTCATCAGTTAATGATGAAGACGAGCAGCAGCTGGAGCTGAAGTGTTCTCAGGTTCTTTGTGGAACCTGAAGATTAACTGATTCTCTGTTCTTGTTTTGTTTTTATGAATTCTGTCAGCGTTTGGCTGACGGCCGTCTGAAAGCTTCCTGCTGCTTTAATGAGCTCCTGAAACCTCCCAGACTTTATGCTGATCAGTTCCAGGAACAAAGACAAGAGCAGAGGAAGGAGGTCTCACTCTGATCTGGGTTTGTGTGTCGCTGTGATTCCGGCGCAGGCTCTAACTTCAACAAATCGCCACGTTTTCTGCTCTAAAAGCTTCTGTCGGAGCAGGAAACAGCTGCTGTTCCTGGCACTGGGCCGGAGCGCACAACACCTGGTTCTGATCCAAAACTCGTCAGCAGAGGAACTTTCTGTTCCGTCTGATTCATCTCAGCATTCTGCAAATCCTCAATCACCTCTGACTTCTACTGGTTCCATTAACACACAGGGTCCAAAGGGACTGTGTTTCAAAATAAAAGTCATAAAGAGTAAGAGTTTTCTGTAGAATTATTCCTTTATAATCATATTTTATTAAATTAAACTTTGATAATAAAATATAGAGAAATGTTTATTGGTGAGGTAAAAAATAAATCAACACATCTGATTCTGCAGAGAAACGTCTGTTCTGATTAAAACACTTTGATATGTAAAATGACTCTTTTCCATTTTAAACGTTCAGAAATAACAGGTGGTTTGTGTGTGTGTAGGTGTGTGTGTGTGTCTGTGTGTGTTTGTGGTCTCAAATGAAAGCACATCTGAAGCTCTTTTGAGTTTTGTTGTCGCTGCAGCTGAATGAAACAGGAATATATCTCTCTCACATGTTGTATTTTTCTATCGTTGTGGGACTTTGTATTGATTTCTGTTATTTTTTCAATCATTTCTAAAGCCTAACCCTAACCCTGTACCCTAAATTAACCTCCTCAACCCCACCAAAAATCATCATCTGTACCCACGGGAACCAGGCTTTGGTCCCCATGAGGAGTACATTGCAGTTTGTGTTTGGAATTTGGTCCTCGTGATGTAACAAATATGCAACCACACACACACACACACACACACACACACACACACACACACACACACACACACACAC